AGGGAATTCCATCTGAAAGTAAGAAAATAATATTTTTGTGTGTGTGTGTGTCTTTTTCCCTCCGCTGCCCCTACCGTGAGGGTGGTCAAACCTGGAACGGGTTGCCCAGAGAGGCTCTGGTGTCTCCATCCTTGAAGATACTCAGAAGCTGTCCGGACAAGACCCTGAGCAACCTGCTCCAGGTGACCCTGCTTTGAGCAGGGGATTGGACTAAGCAATGTCCAGAGACGCCTTCCAGTCTCAGCCGTCCTGGGATTACTTCCAAGCAGGTTAAACAAAATATCTGAAAGAACTACATCTCGAGAAAAAAACACTTGAACGCAGTTCAACTCAAGTCAGATAATTCTAGGCCTTGCAGCACAACATTTAAGTCCTACTGAAGCACATTCTTATTCCTGTTTATGTTACACGTGGTTGTACAATCTGTGTTGTCTGTAAAGAAGAGATGCACTTCATGGGGTTCTTAACTTGCAACAGGGAGTAACAAACACACAGCCCAAACCCAGAATTTGGCTGTAGGTGTTTTCTACCACTTAGGGCTTATGAAGCATTTTACCCTTGAGTACAGTTTCCACTGTGACTAGGGTGGGTAAACAAGTCCAATTACAGATTTTCTATTTTTAAAATACTAATTGTAAGGCACATAGTGTAAAACATTAATTAAAATTATGCTGGTTTCCACAACAACGCTTCCTGAGAAATAGCTTTATTAGCAAACAAGCATTGAAGATACACAATTATTGTATTGCTCTGTGACATTATAGTCTAAATCAAAATAGTGCTCTTCTTTTTTAACTCATACCAACATCTAAATGCAAAGGACCAAAACTGCAAATACATATTAATTTATGTAACTGAACTGAAGTCAACAAATTGAATTACTGAATTCACAGCGTGACAATATCCCCAATAAATATGCATAGTCTTATTTATAAACTCTTGAAAGGAGAAGATTTTTAAATGACAGCAAGTCACACATGGCCAAACATCCGGTAAATCAATTCGTAAGTACCTAATGAACCAATTAAGTGATTAACTGATTTCAATGTATCAAACACTAACTTGCATGCATGCTCTCATACAAGCTCTTTTAAGAGTACCGCCTTTTAAAAAAAAGAGAGGGGAGTGGAAAAAGTTTAAGTCTTTTTTAAATGCTTTTGGGCACCAAAACCACACTCAAGCTGGTCAGAAAACAAGGGCAAATTCTCATTCTGTTTTCTGCCCACAAATTACAGAACAAAATCCCGTAAAGTGTATGTAGGTTTAAAAACAAAACAAAACAAACGCACTGAACTTCGTCCCTACTTAAGTATCTTGTAAACTGTGCCAGTGATTTTAGGAGCTGAACTCATCCATGGTAGAAGCTTCCTGAAATTCCACCTTTTGTTATTGATTTTAAGAAGTCAGTCCAATAGATTGCAATAGGAAACACATTTTTCTGTCCTTCATTTTCAATCCTGCCTCAGAAAATCTGAGGCCAATTCGCATCCCTCTGCAGGGATGTGATGCATGCCAAGGGAAAAGAACTCCACAGAAACAAGCCACCTAAGTTTTCCCTGAAGCCTCCTGTTGGGTTTTGTAGCCTTAAAAGGAAAAAATGCTTTTATCCTGCTGCTCCCCACCTCGCCAAACCGCGAGCACCTGGGGCTGCTTGGTATTTTGTGATTGCATTCACTCAGGGATTCTCTGTGGCAGTCTCTTGCCATCTTCCAGCAGAGCTGGCACAACTGTTATCATCTCCTGGTATCAGTCAAACTCTCTATGAGACTATTTGCTTAACCGAGCAATTCCAGGGGCTCCCAGGGGGCCAGACTGAAGGGAAGTGCAAGCCCTGCAAGCCACTGGAGAAGCAAGGCATACTACCTCTGCTCCGTATTTCTACAGGTCCAGATAATCTGCAAATGAGAAAGGGAGCACTACTGCTGACCAGCTTTTTTCCAACGCCACGGAGGGAGTCAACCGTGGAGATAACCTCTGCACATAAGCAAAGGTGCTACATCATGGGATCATGTAGTTCATGCTTTGAGGAAAAAAAAAAAAAAAAAAAAAAAAAAAAAAAAAAAAAGCACCATCACAATTTTCAAGTTCACAGTAACAAAAATACCTTTAAAATTCATGGACTGATAGCACTGATACCAGACAAATTCCTTTTAAATGCCCTAAACAATTTGTTTTTACATTTCAGGGCATCAAGTTTTACCCTGAACAGAATCTCCCTCAAAAAGGGAGCCCACAGTGGTAACCCCTGAACGCGAGCAACCACTGCTTATTCACTGCCACTTACAGCACTTCTCATGGAGGGAAAGGGCTGATGGCAAAGAAGCCATTTATTCTTTTAATTTATTTTTTTTTTAGTTGTTTCTGGTTATAAAGCTAGACTGTTTTAGAAGTCACTGTTTGTATATTTCCCCCCTGGGGTTTCACAGATTTCTCTTAATATATCTTTCACCCTTCTCCACAAAAACATCCATTCTTTTCTGGTTAGCCTTACTAATTTGACTATTTGGTTTAAACCCACTTAAAAAGCTATTTCCTAGACAAGTTTTTCTATTTTTCAACATGTTAACCTACTTCTCTCTTTATTTCACCTGTCCTATCTTCATTTAATTTCTTTTGATACATGAAAAAAATGATATACATGAAAATTAATGCTGAAAAGGACCTCAGAGGAAATTGTATCAGAAAGCTACAAAAACAGAGGGAATAAATGTCCGTACGTTAAGGACAAAAATGTAATTAGAATACCTGTGTAAAGGAGCCAATGAGTTACTCTGATCTTTTCATCTCATCAGAAACCATTTTTTCAAGTAGCGTTCTTCAATTCATAGGTCCATGCATAAGAAATTCAAATGTCCATATAACCTATGAAAATACTACTTAATACAGTCTATTCATGCATGACTACATAAAGTAAGCAAGATTCAACACTATGGTAAAGGGAAGAAATGAATTGTAAAAATATTTCCCTTACAACACCAAATGGAAGTCACACTCATTTAAATAAATATTTCACTATATTGATAGAAGCCAAATCCATGGTTTTTTCAAAGCCTTGCTTTAGCTGTTGCTTGTAAACAACCGTGCTTTTTTTGCTCTGCTTCATATAAAATGACACATGAGAATTCGTGTTCACGTAACTCTATAAATTAAATTCTCTTTGCTTTTTTACGAGTTGTTTGTAACAAACCTTTTAGCTCTCTCAAAAGGTGGAGAATACAATCAGCCAACCTCTTCGTGCATGTCCTATGAGGATACTCATCCTTGGTAGAAACAAATTTCACTAGCCTTAGTCAGCAAGCTGCAATGGCATGTGGTAAAACTATGACACACACCAAAAACTTACAGACTTGTTAATCAGCAGCCAGATACAACAAGAATACGCTCTCCGAAACCTGCCCAAATCTCCCAAACAGCATTTGGACAGCTTCCCCTTTTGAACGGGGACTTGATGCTTCACATTCAATCCGTGCACGCCATTTTCTCCTTCCTCCCTAAATTCTAAACATTTTTCTTACATTTACTTCTGAGATTCAGTAGTGACAGTTTCTTCCTTACACTCCTACGTGTATTTTGCACAAGCTGTTAAACAGAATTAGTCCACGCTCCTCTTTCGTATCAGTCAACATGGGCCAAAAAGCTTCCTGCAGAATGTGGTACACAAAGAAGAATCCAGCTGCAATAGCTCAACAGCAGTCAGACTAGATAAAACAGAGAAGGGAAGTGTGTATAAGTGACACTCAACCATTCAGCTGGATAAGAAGTCTGTTTTTCCTGTGCTCTGAAGGAACCCAACAAACCGACCTTGGAGAAATCCCAGTTCCGACCCGACCCTTACCACCCAGCTTCCAACGTGTGCAAACATGGCTTGGCAGCCAGGCTGAAGAAAGATTTCGTGAGCTATGGCCATGCAGACCCTCCAGATGACCACAAGAAGTGTTCACCAAGTGACCAAGTGACTAGCAGGGAAGGGGTAGGAACGCAGGTTCGGGTATGGACGGCAGGTTGAACATGCCCAGTGTAAACCCTTTATGGCCTCTACCTACCCTAAGGGCATCGCTTATAAACAGATAGCAATGAAAATATTGCCTGGCATCGCTTGGTTCTTGCACTCTGCACAACACAATAACCTAAGGTAGCTCAGAAGAACACCATCAGCAAGAGTGCTGTCTGAGACGTTCACCTAAATAAGGAAGAGACCATTTATTTACCCTCCGCATAAAGGTACTCTTCAAACTCCATGACAAGACTTTGCTGCAAATTCCCCCTTACCGTTCAAAGCCTGAAGATAAAAACTTGACAAATGAACAAGTTAGAATTACCTAGAGAAATTAAACCTTGTGGTCTTCATAGACCTAGCAAAGCAGAAAGATTAATATAAGCAAATCCCCACCACCACCCCCCAAAAAATGCAAGATTATACCCTGGTAATCCTTTCAGTTGCAGTTCACTAATATATCTTCTAGTAGTGAGCAGGAACAACCAGTTTCAAGGTAACAATCTAAACTCAATGTCCTACTTTTAAAAAATAAGTATTTTTTAAAAAAAAACTTTAAAAATAAGTATTTTTATGGAATAATATTTAAAAATAAGTATTTTTTAAAAGTACCAGAAGAGATACCAAGAGAGAAAAAAAGTGACATTGGAAAACTGTCAGATTCTGGGAGATGGAATAGTTCCAGTCTGAACGTCCTTCCTTCACCATGCGTGTTAGGACCACATGGCACGAGGAGAAAAACCAACGTGTGCACTATCTGAAACCCATGTTGCAGAACAGAGGGAAGTGGCGAATAATAAAGAACGAACCCATTACGCATAGTGCTGATTTATGCGCATGTTTAAATCTGGAGGCACACTACCCCTTCCTGCAGAGCCTCCTGCAGGATCCAGAGGGAAAATGGCTTAATCCCCAGTAATGTGGCAGTGGGGGGGGCCTGTCTGGGCCATCGCCAGCGCTGTCCTCCCTGCTGGGGGTGCGCTGCCAGGAATAAAGAGCTACTCACCGTCTCTCCCTCCACCAGCCATCTCTTCATCTTCGGCACATCCTGCTCTGCAGGGGCTGGCATTCACACCTCCAGGATGCTGCTAAGTCATGTGGGGACGTGGCATGCAGGGAGCTGCTCTTCTACAGAAAACTCACGCAAACACGGTGGACACCCCACTAGGGTTTTTTGCCTTTACGTGGATGTCTCCATCTTCAGGTTTCGCTGCATCTTGCTCCTGAATGGAAGCACCATGCTGCTTCTGCCCACCCTGACTTTTCTTAGGCATGCTAGAAAGGAGCAGAGAATATTTTCTCACATCCTTTCCATGCACTGTGAGGCCCAACAAAGGCATAATAAAACAGAAATTATTTAAAAAAAAAAAAAAAGTTTAGTTACAGCAACCCTTTTTTTTTTTTTTTTTTTTTTTTTCTTTTATTAAATAAACTTCTCTGTGGAACTGCAATTTACCCTGAACGCTGTAAACATTTCTTGTTAGCTTGCTCCCCGAGCTCATCTAAGAATGGGACAAGATCACGTGTAGCTATCTGGTGAAGCAATGGGATGAGTCATCAGTCTGCAAACTGAACAACAGATGGAATCATATATTCAGACCAAGGTAAGCACAGTAATGAATGAACCACCAGTTTCTAAATTACACCTCTGGAGAAAGCAGTTTAGCACGGCAACGCATAAGCACACCTACCTAGCCTGGCACTAAAAAGCGTTAGGGAATCCAGTGGGCCACTTAAGAGAAAAGATCCATGGAATTCAAGGAGTGGGGGAATCTCCCCTGAAAAATGTCTGAATCAGCTGAAGGAATTTAATTACAGCATCACGCACCCCTGTAACTAACTTGGTCAAGTGTTGTGCCCTATGTTTTTACAGGTTGCCATAAATATTGATTAGGAAGATGTCATTTTTAAATAAACTAAGTGATTTTATAGTGAACTCCATTAGTTTTACACCTACTAAGATCAGTACCATTTTCCTTACAGGAGGAAAAAGAAAGACAATAGTGCAAATGCTCTCTCATTTTGTATTCAAGCAGTTTCTTCTCTGACTAAACAAAGATAGCAGTCTCTGATAAAATGAGAGTACTTCCCACCAACCACGTTGACAAAAAAGGCTCAAATTCTGTTTGCAGTTTTGCTGGTCTAAATGCATATAATCTAGGCAATAAGTTTAGATTTCCACCAAAGCTACTGAAAGTAAAACATGTCCCCGTTGATCTATAGCCTGATTAGTGATGATAAGCGGAGATAGCAGAGCCCCAGCTGCCCAGTATTGCACAAAGAAAGAGGTGGGCAGGTTCGGAGAAAGCTGCACATACTGGTTTCACTCCTATTCACAATTTACCCCTACTATTTCACTCACCCACTCCCTCTTCACCAAAGCATGAAATGCCAGTTGCTTAGATTTCGGCTGTTCAGTATTCAGCCGCTGCCATCACAAATTACTAACAAAATTAACAAACCACCACCCAGGAACTCCCAGACCTCGGGCCAGCCCAAGGTGCTTGCAGATGTCTCGCTCTCCTCCTGAACTCTTCTGCCCTGCCACCGCCGGACCAGCCCCAGCACCCGCACCGAGCTGTGCCCACAGCTCCCGCCCCGGGGCAGCACCCCCTTCTCTGAGGACCGCTGTGGGTGCAGGACACATCAGGGGTCCCTTCCCCCCCAAACCTTCTCCTGCCCCTATACCTCACTGAGCACCGCCTCCCATGAATTCCCCCGTTAGTTACCGCACGCTACAGAGATCCCCGTTACTACTCTCCCGGGAACCCCCTCCACAGCCAGGGCACGGGTTGCCTGAGCTAGTTTAGCCCCCAGTGAGAGATGGAAAAGGGAGCAGGAGGAAGAAGAAGAGTCTGGGAAGAGAGGGCCTTCAGCTCAGCTCGCCCCACGACTCCGCTGGCTTAGGTGCAAGATTCGGACGTTTAATTACAGTGGTTCTCTCCCTGACACTTTATTTTAGCCCGGCCACGCCGCGACGTGCTGTGCACTGACTGCACCCGTGAACGTGCTCAAAGAGCACGTCTGAGGAAGGTGAGGACCTCATCAAGGAAAATAATACCAAAGATCTATTAAGGAGACGAGTGCTCAAAATGGGGCGGTAGAAGACAATATGCCATCTGAGGACTTCCAACATAGACCAGCATGTCCCAGAGAGGGAATTCTACTCAATTTTTGTATCGATACCTTCAAACCTACGCTTCAACAGCTTAATAGGAAAGTAATTTTGAAGGCTATAAAGACTACCTCCCTCCACCTCCCATCTGGACATGCTGCTTCACTTGCTGATTTTTTAAGGTAGCTCAGCTTCCATCTCGGTTTCATGGCTTCTGATTAACTTATTTCTCATTTTAAGTATTTACAGCTTGGGAGTAAAAAAAGCAAAGGGGTAGGTGATGAGCAGAAGGAACAAAAACTGGCTGTGCAGGATACCCCCTCCAGGAGCTGGACCGCTTCACCTGCAGGCAGGATGGAAAGCAGCTTGGGGATGTCGCCTTCCCGTCCATGAAAACACGAGGGGCTGTGAAAGATTGCTTTTCCACCAGATTGCGGCTGTGTCACACCCACCACGCGGTGACCCAGAGCTCCCCTGCCACACACACAATTAAATTCTGTCAAGGCGCTACTGACCCCCCCCAGCGCACGGCACATGGCACGCTTCAATTCAGCATTAGCAAAATACCAATAGCCCCTGGGGAGACTTGGATTTAATTCTACTCCAAAAATATGTTCACTGTACGAGAAGCAAAGCAGCAGCAGTGAATAATAATTATTAATTGTCAGCTCTTTGAACATTTTCATACCTCTACCAATTGTCCTGGAAAGGATAGCTACTATTCCCCAACAGGAAGGCCAGAAACAGTATTTTTCTGAAAAGGAAGACCATTTCAGATTGCAGACATTAACTCCACATTTCAGAGAATATAATTTCATGGAATAGAGTAGAATTCTGTTCTGTTTCCTTTCTAAACTATTCAGATTCTGGAAGCAGAAGAAACAAGAATTCAGTGTGTTAAACTGCAGCTCAAATATTTTCAGCAGCCCAGCAAAATTCTCTTGTACACATTCTTGTGAGCTAAAAACCAGATCTGCTGTGAGGCACAGCATGTACCTCATGGCAACAGTGTAGATTTATGTTTCTGCTCTCTGGGAAGTCCCTGCTATGTGAAAGGATATGACTGGCTTTACAGGTCAAGGTAAAATCTATTGCCCAGATACGGACCGAAAATGGGAAACAGATCGAGCAGCCTAAATACGCAGAGCTATCAGAAGGGGCTGAGAGGCAGGATACACCACCGCTGATTTATATAGTTTAAATAGCACAGTCGATGCCTTCCTTCTCCACTTGACAACTTCTCTTTTTGCTTTTCATTTTCCTTGGTTTTCAACCCTTTAGAAACCCCACTCACAAGGGAGAAGATGTCACATTTCCCCTGGAAAGAAATTGGCTTATGACACATTGGATAATTCCAAAAATACATAATGCATTAATTTGACACACTCCTGACATCAAGACCTTAATTTCTACTATCTTCTTTTTCAGATACAATTAAAACAATTTCCCTACCTCAGCCCTCTAATTTGTATCACTTGAAGAGGGAGAGTTTCTTCCCACTCACCCCAAGGTACTTCACATGGGAGATTCCCAAACCTCTGGGAGGAGGTCTGCTTCAGTCTCTTCTTGAACTCACTCTTGCTCTCATCCTAGCAAGTGACAACTAGCGAGCTGCTTTTCTCAGACAACGCTTCATATTTTAATTCCTATCTTTGCTTGACTAATCCCCCCCGCTCTTTCTGTGCATTAGTTTCCCCCCTACTCTTGGGTTCCCATTAACTTTTTCCTTTCACCTTGTTTTTGCTCTCAGGAGTCACTTTTCTTCCTTACCACCAGACTACCATGCATGCTACAAATTATCTCAAATTTTGCAAAGGACTACAGCAATGATTTCTGTGTAATACGCCGCAAGCCTAGGAGTGCTGTCTGGCAACTGTTTGGGTAGAACCCTAAAACTCAAGTGGGGCATTTTCTGTAAAATAAATGTGCTTCTGCTATATGAACTTTATGCTCTCCTACCTCTTCTAGAATTACAGCTGCTTTTCTTTCAATGTAAAAAGGCAGGGACAGAGAGAGATAGGAGATCTGGATATACCGAAACACTTTATAATGCCTTCTGGTGGACAATTAACTGTGGTCTGTGAGTCAGAGAACTGTAAGAGATCTACCTGCTCACAGGTGACCTTTCTGGTGAATTTTAGGAGTTATACACCATCTCAGATAAGTTGCCATTTCATCTTCACAACAGACCTCACCTGGTTAAATATTACACCTATCTTGCAGAAAACAAGAGAATTATTGGCAGAGGCAATATTAAATTGCAACAGAAACTTTTTTTTTTTTTTTTCTGTTTCCCATAATACTGAGCTACCCCTGCAGTGACCTAAGATGAGGGGACAGCTGACTAGGAGGGGACGGAGACGCAGCACTGTCAATGCCACCACAGGCAGTATTGTCACAATCTGACCCAGCCTGTCTTTCCCTTATCTCCCTCATCACACATCTTTTTCTCACCCTGCAACCCCAAGTGTATGTACACACAAATCAAATGACCTGGTGCTATGTTTTTTTTTCAGACCTGGTGCTATGTTTTTTTTTTTTTTTTTCACAGGATGTCCAAAAGTCTTATTCCCTGGTTTCAGAGTTTGATGGTACATGGAATAATGGAAGCAGACCCCAAAACCCAGAAACCCACCCCAAACCGTAAACAGCTGTTGCTGACACCAATCTTGCCTCTCTAAATAAGCCCTAGCTTCAAATATCAAAAGGAAAGAATGCTTCACAGAGATAATAAATACTGGTAATTATTTTCATATCCTTCAGTACACAGCCATTTGCACTTGTGAAAGACAATTACAAAACCTCATTCTGACTCTATGCATCACCAAAGCAAAACAGTGAATGTAATGTACCAGCATCCTCACTTTGCACAGCTCTCTGTGACTCTGCAGAGATGTCTGGGAAAAACACAAACCGATATCCATAATTTTAAAGATTCCCTTTCTGTGTCCTCACCCAGGGATTTTTGTTCAATCCCTTCATGGGCTCACCATTGAAAAAATGAGAGCACCATTCACTATCATGAAGCTGCATATCCTGGATGTAAAGGAAAACCAAAGCTCTCCTTTGTGGACCAAATCCCTTAGATGGGAACATTGCTCAAGTGAAAGCAGCCTGGCTGAGCTGTGTAGGGGTTTGGGAGGGAGTGGATCACACCGCA